TTCCGTCATCTGCAATCCGACGCCACCACCAAAGACATTTTCCCCTTCCCACCCTTATCTGCTTTCCGGAGGGACCACTCTCTCCATGACTCCCTTGTCCGCTCCACACTCCCCTCCAGCCCCACCACACCTGACACTTTTCCCTGCAACCGCAGGAAGTGCTACACCTGCCCCCATACCTCCTCCCTCACCCCCATCCCAGGCCCCAAGAAGACTTTCCACATCAAGCAGATGTTCACCTGCACATCTGCCAATGTGGTATACTGCATCCGCTGTACCCGTTGTGGCCTCCTCTACATCGGGGAAACCAAGCGGAGGCTCGGGGACCACTTTGCAGAACACCTACGCTCGGTTCGCAATAAACAACTGCACCTCCCAGTCGCGAACCATTTCAACTCCCCCTCTCATTCCTTAGACGACATGTCCATCCTGGGCCTCCTGCAGTGCCACAACGATGCCACCCGAAGGTTGGAGGAGCAGCAACTCATATTCCGCTTGGGAACCCTGCAGCCCAATGGTATCAATGTGGATTTCACAAGCTTCAAAATCTCCCCTCCCACTATCGCATCCCAAAACCAGCCCAGCTCGTCCCCGCCTCCCTAACCTGTTCTTCCTCCCACCTATCCCCTCCTCCCACTTCAAGCCGCACCCCCATCTCCTACCTACTAACCTTATTCCATCCCCTTGACCTGTCCGTCCTCCCTGGACTGACCTATCCCCTCCCTAACTCCCCACCTACATTCACCTTTACTGGCTCCATCCCCGCCTCTTTGACCTGTCTGTTTCCTCTCCACCTATCTTCTCCTCTATCCATCTTCTATCCGCCTTCCCCTCTCTCCCTATTTATTTCAGAACCCCCTTCCCCTCCCCCATTTCTGATGAAGGGTCTAGGCCTGAAATGTCAGCCTTCCTGCTCCTATGATGCTGCTTGGCCTGCTGTGTTCATCCAGCTCTGCACCTTGTTGTCTCAAAAAACCAGGTTGTTTGCGTCTTGTTTAACTACTCACTTAAAACTTTTATATGGATTCATAGTAAATAAGCACAGAAACAGACCCTTTGGTCCCACCGGTCCATATTAAACATAATCCCAAACTCATTCACCTGCCCGCAAATGGCCCATATTCCTCCTAAACCTTTCCTATTCATGTACTTAGGCAAATGTCTTTTAAACATTATCATTATACCAACATCCACCACTTCCTTAGGAAGTAAATTCCACATGCAAACCACCCTCTTTTTAAAAACAAAATTACCTCAAGTCGTTTTTTTAAAAAATCTCTCCCTCTCTCACCTTAAAAATGTACCTCCTACTCTTGAAATCTCCCATCCTAGGGAAAAAGAGAACTACCATTAACTCTATCGATATCCGTCGTTATTTTATGAGCTTCTATGAAGATCACCTCTCAACCTCCTATGCTCCAGTGAAAAATGTCCAAGCCTTTCTTTATAACTCAAGCCTTCCATACCCGACAACATATGTACGTGATGACTAGTACCAATGCTTTATTTTTCCTTGTGTTAACTTCTTACATGTCTGCATTCTTTTCAAAAATTATTTTAATGATTTTCAAAACAAGATTTATGCGTACAATTGGAGAATTTGTCATTCTACTGCTTTCAAAATGCTTAGTACAACAGCAGCCATGAACACTTGACTTAATTACAAAATGAATGTTTCCATCCTAATAGCTTGTTCATTTATTTAGCTAAAATTGCAGCAATGTCCAGACTCCAAGCAGCTCTGCAACTGTTCAGTTAAAACTAAAAACAGCAACTCATCATCTTCTCATCTCTAACTCTCACTGATATGTCACTTTCAACTTTTCACCCAAATGAGTATGTATCCAATACAATCTCAAATATAAAAGGCTGGGCAGTACAATTACTACAAAAAGAAAATTACCCATTCTATAAGAATAACTTTGGCATTTTATACAGAAGAACTTTATGGACATGAATGATTTTTTTTGACACAAGTAATTTTCTTTTAAAATTGATCAAAGGGTGCATTCCAAAGATTGCTAAACAACTTCTAGTGATGTACCATCTTGTAGGTCAATATTCCTATGGAGATACTGTGGAGAAATGATGGCATAGTGGTTTTAGCACTAGACTATAAATCAAGAGGCTCAAATGATGCTCTGGGGACATGGATTGCTGGTGAATTTAATTTAAATTTTAAAAATCTGGAATAAAAGTGATATCATTGATGACATTTATTGTTGTAAAATTCCACCTGGAGCAATCATGACCTTTAGGGAAGTAAGTGTGCCATTATTGTCTGGTCTAGTCTTCATATGATTGTTTCACATTCTGTTGGTCTACACTGTTAACTACCCTCGGAAGCAGCCTGTAAACCCATTGAGATAAAGGAGGGATGAGCAACAAACTTTCCAGCAACCCTCTCATTCCATGAGAGGAAAAAAAGGGAAAAAACAATTACAAGGTGTTCAATGAATGGCAGCTGACTGCATTATGCTTTGCAACACCTTGAGCTAAATATTTTTTTCTGCATTTACATAATGCAGCATAATTTGGGGAAATCACAGTGAGCTTGGCACTCATTTTGCATGTCCAGGCAGCTGCATCCATAACAGCATAAAGATGCACTTTGAATGAAGTGTGAGCAAGGGTCAAGTCACCATTGTCTTGTCCTACCGGACCATAGGGCTGTTCCCTCATTACAGACAGAAATACTGGTGGTGATTTAACCTGTGGGTCACTGTACCTCAGGACAAGGAAGAGGTTGAGAAGGGGAGTCCTTCATGGTAACCTTAGCCACTGTGGGAATTGAACCCACACTGTTGGCATTGCTCTGCATCACATTGCAGCCATCTAGCCAACCGAGCTAACCAACCTCCAAAAACAAGGATTTTGTCCTTGGCTGGTTTGAGTACATTATCAACAGAAGAACAAAAATGAACAAGAATAGAAATTACTAATTTAAACTTCACCTTGAGTTTTGCATTTACTGAAACTAAAAATTACTGAAGTAACAAACATATATCACATTTATTTCAACTGACTGAACTCAAGGCCATTTTGTATTTGCAAAATGATGGTTAGTGGACATCTACACGGATGCTTAAGTTGCAGAGAACCAAAGAATGCACAAGGATTTCAGGATTACATCGTGCAGCACAAAATGTTTTAGACAGAATTCTGAAATTTATTTACTATTAACTTTTTTAAACTAATACCTCCTTTTGAATTTTGCAAATATTGCATAAGTACATTTTTATTTGCTTTGATTTTATTGCATCCAAAAATGAATGTGAATGGAATGTAATCAGAGTAGAGGGGCTGTCTGTCTGTATCTTATTCATCTACTCACTAAGCTCGCAGAAGATACTCAACTACATCCAGTTCAACTGTTACAGGGTCTGAACAATCAGCATCCTTTCTCCCCCAGCTCTCCAACTCACCCCCCATCCATTGCATAAATGCTGCCCGCTCCACACTTCACATCAGCTCTGATGAAGAGTCATCTAGACTCTAAATGTTAGCTTGCTTTCTCTCCATAGACGCTGCCTGACCCATGTGATCTCCAGCATATTTTGTTTTCAGTACAGATTGTAGCATCTGTAGTAAATTGCTCCCACTTTCATATAGGAATTGGAAAGTCATGTTGAGGTTGTACAGGACGTTGGTGAGGCCTGTTCTAGAGTAGTGTACGTAGTGCTGATCGCCTTGCTGTTGGAAGGACATTATTAAACTGGAGAGGGTTCAGAAAAAGATTTACCTGGACTTTGTTGGGAATGAAGGGTTTGAGTTATTAAAAAAAAACGCTAGATAGGCTGGGACTTTTCTCCCCACATGAGAGAGTAGGAGGTTGATGTTTGACCTTAAAGGTTTATAAAATCATGAAGGGCATAGAAAACATGAAAAGCAAAGGTCCTTTCCCTAGGGTGGGTGAGTTCAAAACTAGGGGGCACTTTTTAAGGTGAGATGAGAAAGTTTTGAGGAGGACAGGAAAAGCAACTTTCCTTTCTAAAACAAAACAAAAGGACAGTGGCTCATCTACAGAATGAACTGCCAGAGGAAGTGTATATAAAAAGATTTTATGAACAGTCTATTTCGCAATTAAAGAAACCTGTAACTGCCCCACTCCTCAGATATTCTGGTTGGTTGTGTGGCCTCAGCAATCAGGAGGAAATAAGGAAGCCTGGTTCATTCTTAATGCATAAACACCCTCCGCTCCTGTTATCTCTAAATTACGCCCCAACATCTCTGCAGAATAAGTTAATGCCACCCCCAAAAAAATATATATAGGGATAGTCTGTCTCCCTCTCACCATTGGAATAACTGCTGGAGGGCCCCTTGCAGTAGCCACATTTATAACCGTCGTCCGCGGTGAAATACTCGAGGATACTGCGTACGCCGCCACCGGCCATGATTGTCAACCAGCTGTCGCTAAGGCCAAGGCGCGCACCCAGGCTGGCACGGCCAATCAGTGACCGCGGCGGGGCGAAGAAGGGAGGGTACGCGCACGTTCTGTTCCTGCATCCGCGGTCCGTGCTCGCGCCTCCATCGGGAAAAGGCGTTCAAAGCGTGGGGGTCCCTTGCAGAAAAGGCTGCCAGCTGTGGGCAGCGTTATTTTTCCATAACATCAACGTGTCTGTCTGTCTTTATTTATTTATTTAAATGGAGCACCTAACAACAGGTGCAGGAAACAACAGCCCCATCAGGCGCACACATTGCGTGCTGGGTTTGAAATCTTATAGGTGTCTTTAATAAAATTGAAGATGTTTTGAGTTTTTTTTTCAAAAAGGTTAACAATCAGAACCCTCGATTCGTGGAGGGCTGATTACAGAATGAAAATACGATCTCGCTGGTACGCCAGGTTGTTATGAGGTGCTGGATCGGAGCGGTCTTGTGAAAAGTGGAGAGCGACACAGGCCTGTACTCACTGCCGAAGCCTTGGTCCCAAAGTTGCTGTCGCTGTTGAAAATGCTTCACGTTAAAAATTCGATCCTGCTGCTAAGCTTCTCGGACTTACCCGTGGATACTTTCCCATTCTCCGAGTCACAATATCCACAACGATAATTGGATTTTAAACCTTTATATTCCACAATGGAATACATCCCACGGTCGTGTGTTTTGGTCCCGGTCAATCCACCGCCTATACGTTTTACATTTCCAGTAGACGCTTTACCGGATAAAGGAAAAAAAACACGATAATACGAAATCACATGGCACCTCCGAGTAGAGTTGTTCGATTATAAAGCCGGTGTGCTTCTTTTGGACTCTTCAAAACATGGAAAAAAAACCCTACCAACTAGATACTTTATTTAAGAACGAGAAAGAGGGTGGCGCGTTTTTAGTTAGAACGTTTGTACTGTAATTTGGTGGTTAACTCACCTTCAAGGTATGAGTAGGTTTAATTTTTTTCATGTGTATTGCTAGCAACTAAACTCAGCCTATAAAAGTATGGAAACTTGACAATTGGAGATAGCAAGATTGTACCGTTGTTCTCGCTAGCCATTTCAATTAAGTTAATAATGAGTCAATGCAGATTTGTACAACTTTTACTTAATTCCTTCCTCTGCATTACTTCAGTCTGTAGCAAAGGGTGGTCATATTAATCTGTCAATAAGGATTTAAGATAAAAATTTGGACTTGGGCAAAATGAACTCCTCTGGGGTGTTTGTGTGCACATGGCTCATAATTGTTACATTGGTTTTTCTACAATAAATTGTAAAGCTGCTGTCAAAACAGCAGGTGTACGTTGGTGATTCAAAGTGAATGATTCTTTTCTATATAACAATTAGGTCGAGTGAATTTTTAACAAATGCACTTCTAACCTTAACAGCATTAAATACTTTAAAGTACTTGTTCTGCCAAAAGTTAAATGCAACCAAAATTCTGAAATCATTATAATTCATCTAAATGTCAAATATACCATTTAGGATTTTATGGTTTTTACCCACATTTAGTTCTTACAAATCAATGCAACAAAAATGCAGGTGTAAGATAAATAAAAAGTAAAGTAATAGAATAAGGCAAAAAAGGAGAGGGAATTTTTTTGAGATTCTTTATTGGTACCATCTTCCATATCAAATTATACACTATTCCATTCAGTTCATACCATAGATCACATAATCTTAACAGAAATATTAAATACAAACATATTGATGTGCAATGTGAAAATTGATTCCAATAATGTCACAGATGTCATGCAACTCCTCCTATGAATTGTATTCAATCATGCCTTGCAAAGAGATGGCAAACTATTTAGACCTACTATACCACTAAAAAAAAACCAACTGGGGTGTATCACATATAAAACATGGCCTATTGATTTGTGAATTCCATCACTGGATTTAATACAGAGGACCTTCATGGGCTGAAATAGTTTTTAAAAAAGAATCTAATTGAAAATGACTGCATACATCACCCGACCACATTGCCAAAATTCATTATGGATTAAACAACAGACAACCAAGTTTAAATTAGCATTTTATCCAAAGGTTGTGAAACTAGCCAGTAAGAACTACCCATCACAGGAAGATCCTAATCTATTTTTGTTTACATCTGCACGAGAATGTTATTCAAAGTACATTTTGCAGCTGTAAAAAGATCAGAAGAAATAATGACAATGCTGCCAAAAACAAAGGATTATCATTCAGAACAAGCACACAAAAGTAGCATATTTTCCAATTAAACAAACAAATGTTAAGAAAAATAATTCAAAGGTAGATTTGAAATCTGAAAACATTTGCGAGAATCTGTAGTCAAAAGATAGTTAGTTGGTGAAAAGAGGCAGTCTCGGGATTATTTAAAGAACAAAGGGGAAGTTTTTACAAGGTATTATTGTATCACAGAGTAGTTTATCATATGTAACTCTGAGAAGAGACACCATGGCCCTGCTGTTTACAGGGCTGTGAATTTGGAGTATTAGGATTGTAGATGGGAATGCCAGATGCATGATTTCTTAAAGGTCTTGCAGGGCCTTTTAATTTTTCTCTCCAGGTTTCTGGCTGAACTGGGCTGTCCAAGATGGCCTACAGCCGAAGGACACAACAAATAAGCAGATAGGAAGATGTTGCTGGTTGGATGGGGAGAGGTACTAATATATCAGTAAGCATGACGGATGTGGAGAAAAGATTCCTGCTTCTCCTGGTAGTGCTGCAAAAGCACCAACTTAATGGATTCTTCCTTGCTCACCTCCTATTTGCCAAATTTCTGAACAACAGTGAAACCCAACTCACAAGTTAAAGTGAAAAGCTTCCTGCTATGGGAAGGATGTAATTAAACTGGAAAGGGTGCAAAAAAGATTTACAAGGATGTTACTGAGACTGGAAGATTTGAGTTGTAAGCAGAAGCTGAGACTTTTTTTTCTGGTTCAGATAGAAGTTTATAAAATAACAAGGGGCATAGATAGGGTGAATAGCAAAGGTCTTTTTCACAGGGTAGGCGAGTCAAAAACTAGATGGCATAGAATTAAAATGAGAGGGGAAACATTTAAAAGGCACCTGAGGGGCAATGTTTTTGTGCACGTTGTGGTCCGTGTACGGAATGAGCTGCCAGAGGAAGTGGTAGAGGCAGATATAATTACAGCATTTAAAAGACATTTGCACAGTTACATGGATAGGAAGGGTTTGGGGGAATATTGCCAAATGCAGGCAAATGGGACTAGTTCATTTTCGGAAACCTGGTTGGCATGGATGATTTAGGCCAAAGGGCCTTTTACCATTCTGTATGACTCTTAATAAAACCATTCACCCAACCTCCTTAAAAAGTTTTAGGGATAGGCGTAGGCCATTCAACCTGTCGAGCCTGCTCCACCATTTCAGTTGATTCTGGCTGACTGAACGCTTAAATGCCTTTAATCCACACTAACTCTTTACAGCATTGGGAATTATAAATTTATCAATCTCAGAGTATACTCAGTTTGAGCTTCCACAGCCCTCTGGGATAGGGAATTCCAAATATTCACAACACTGAGTAAAATAAAGTCTCCTCATCCTGGTCCTAAATCAGATCCCTGTTATTTTTAACATGCCTCCTGGTTCTAGAGTCCTTAACTGGGTGAAATAGTTTATCTACAACAATCCACCAGGAAGGTAATGCGTAGTGGTAATGTCACTGGATTAATATTCTGGGAACATGGTTTCACATTCCACCAGATAGATAGTGAAATTTGAATTTAATAAAAGTCTAGACGAAAAACTAGCCAATGGCAAGCATCTGTCAATTATCATAAAAAATCAGTTTTACTAATGCCCTTTAGAGAAGGAAATCTGCCATCCACAATTGGTCTTACCAAATCCACAGCAATGTGGTTGACTTTTAGCTGGGCAATAAGCGTAGGCCTATCCTGTGAGTGAATAAAATAGTCCATAAGACCATAAGACATAGGAACAGAAATTAGGCCATTCGTCCCATCGAGTCTGCTCTGGCATTCAATCATGGCTAATAAGTTCCTCAACCCTATTCTCCTGCTTTCTCCTGTAACCCTTGATCCCTTGATAATCAAGAACCTATCTATCTCAGTCTTAAATGCACTTAATAACCCGGCCTCCACAGCCTTCTGTGGCAGTGAATTCCATAGATTCACCACTCTCTAGCTGAAGAAGTTTCTCCTTATCTCTGTTCTAAAAGGTCTTCCCTTTACTCTAAGGCTGTGTCTTTGGGTCCTAGACTCTCCTACCAATGGAAGCATCTTCCCAACATCCATTTTGTCCAGGCCATTCAGCATTCTGAAAGTTTCAATTAGATCCCACCTCATCCTTCTAACCTCCAATGAGTATAGTCCCAGAGTCCTCAAATGTTCCTCATATGTTAAGCTTTCCATTCCTGGGACCATTCTCGTGAAACTCCTCTGAACCCGCCCCAGGGCCAGTACATCCTTCCTGAGATATGGGGCCCAAAACTGCACACAATACTTCAAATGTGGCCTGACCAGAGTCTTATAAAGCCTCAGTAGTACATCCCTGCTTTTATGTTCAAGTCCTCTTAAAATAAATGCCAACATTGCATTTGCCTTCCTGACTACTGACTCAACCTGCAGGTTTACCTTGAGAGAATCCTGGACTAGAACTCCCAAGTCTCTTTGCACTTCAGACTTCTGAATTTTCTCCCCATTTAGAAAATAGTCCATGCTTTTATTCTTCTTATCAAAGTGCATGACCTCACACTTTCCCACGTTGTACTCCATCTGCCACTTCTTTGCCGACTCTCCTATCCTGTCCAAATCCTTCTGAAGCCTCGCCACCTCCTCAATACTAACTGTCCCTCCACCTATCTATGTATCGTCTGCAAACTTAGCCAGAATGCCCAGTTCCTTCATCGAGATCATTAATGTACAAAGTGAAAAGTTATGGTCCCAGCACTGACCCTTGCAGAGCACCACTTGTCACTGCCTGCCGTCCTGAGAAAGACCCTTTTATCCCCACTTTCTGCTTTCTGCCAGACAGCCAATCTTCTATCCATGCTAGCACCTTGCCTCTAACACCATGGGCCCTTATCTTACTCAGCAGCCTCCTGTGTGGCACCTTATCAAAGGCCTTCTTGAAATCCAGGTAGATAACATCCATTGGCTCTCCTTGGTCTACCCTGCTCGTTACTTCCTCAAAGAAAGTCCTGACTATCCTTTCAAGTACTTTGTAAGTTCTAATGGGTCACCTCTCATTCTACAAACTCCAGAGAATACAGACCCAATGTTCCCTTTTGCGCCACTTAGGACAGTCATGGTACATGTCTGGTGAACCTTTGTTGCACTCTGTCAAGGCAATTATCTCCTGAGATAAGGAGTTCAAAACTCACACAGTACTCCAGATGCAGTCTAACCAAGGTCCTCTACAATTGAAGTAAGACTTCACTACTCCTTTACTCAAATCCTCTTGTGAGAATGGCTAACATTCCATCACCTTTCTCAAAGCTTGCTACACTTGCATATTAGCCTTCAATGACTTATCAACAACGACACCCAGGTCCCTTTGCATGTTTACGCATTCCAGCCTCTTGCCATTAATGAAATAACACATAGACACATCTGTTCTTCGTATAAAAATATATTACCCCCTCACATTTTTCCCTACGTTGTATTCTGTCTGCCCTGTCCTTGCCTGCTTGTTAAGCCTGTCAAAATCCTTCTGAAGGTGCTTTACATTTTTCTCCCGACAAACACTCTTGCTTAGCTTTGTATCATCTGCAAATTTGGAAATATTTTGTTTGATCCCCATGTCCAAATTGTTGTACACCATGAACAGCTGGATTCCAAGCACTGATCTTAAGGTATCCCAGTAGTCACAGTCTGCCAATGTGAAAATTACCCATTTATTCCCGCAATCTTTTTTATGTGTTACCCAAGCATTAATCTATGTAAATACATCACCTCCGAAACCACTTACTTTAATTTTGCTACCCAATCTGCTCTTGGGGACCTTATCACAAGCACCCCGAAAACCAAGTATACTACATCCACCCCTGTCATCCCTAAACATTTATATCAATGACTTTAGGGAGCACTAGTTCCATAATATTTTCTTTACAGATCCAACTGGACACCCAAATCACTTAGATCCAAGTAAGAGCTATGGTGTTTTACTTATTTGATCGATCATGGCTGATATGTTTCTCAAACCCGTTCTCCTACCTTCTCCCCTTAATCCTTGATCCCCTTACCAATGAAGAACCTATCTACCTATGTCTTAAATGTGCTCAATGTCAATGATTCTATGACTTGGCCTCCTCCGTCCTCTGCAGCAATGTTCCACAGATTCACCACCC